GAGAGTTTCTGTTTCTTCAAATTCCTCGGAAAGCTTTAGAAGAACTGGCAATAGGTCCTCTTTAAATTTTTGGAAAAATTTGCTAGTGAGTCCATTTGGAACTGGGCTTTTATTTTTGGGAAGACTTTTGATTACAGTTTCAATTTCCATGATGTTAATAGGTCTATTCATGTAATCTAGAACTTCTTGATTCAGCCTTGGGAGATTATAGGAATCCAGGAATTCATTCATTTCTTCAAGATTCTCTTGTTTCATGATATACAGACTTTCAAAGTAGTCTCTGAATTTCTTTGATTTCTGTTGTGATATCCACCTTCTCATTCTGAATCGGTCTAGTAGGGTTTTCTCTCTCTTTCTTTGTGAGTCTTGTAGTGGTTTATCTATTTTCTCAAAGAACCAACTCTTGGTTTCATTGATCTTTTGGATTGTTTTTGGGGTTTCCATGTCATTAAATTCTGCTCTAAGTTTTATGATCTCCTTCCTTCTGCCTGGTTTGGGCTCCTTTTGTTGATCCTTTTCTAAGCTCTTGGACTGTGAAGTCAAGCTGTTGATGTGGACCCTTTTTCCTTCCTGAGAAATGCTTGCAGAGCTATAAATTGTCCCCTTAACAAGGCTTTAACTGCATCCCATAGGTTCTGATAGCTTGTGTCTTCATTCTCATTTGTTTCCAGGTATCTTTTGATTTCATCCTTGACTTCCTTCATGACCCACTTGTTGTTCAATATTGAGTTGTTTAATTTCCAGGTGTTTAATTTGGTATTCTGCATCTGTACATGATTAACTTTTATCTTCAGCACATCGTGTCTGAGAAGAGAGTTGATATAATATCTATCTTCCTGATTCTGTTGAGGTATGCTTTGTGGCCTAGTACATGGTCTATTATGGAAAATGTTCCGTGTGCACTGGAGAAGAATGTGTATTGTTTCTTTTGGCGTGTAAAGCCCTGTATAGGTCCATAAGCCCTCTCTCTTCTATTTCTTTCTTTAAGGCCAATGCTTCCTTGCTGAGTTTTGTTCTTATTGATCTATCCAGAGATGATAAGGTGATGTTGAAGTCTCTGGCTACTATTGTGTTGCTAGCAATGTCCTCCTTAATATCTGTTAGTAGTTTTTTTTAAATATTTAGCTGTTTCCTCATTAGGTGCGTATACATTTAAGACTGTGATTTCTTCCCCTTGTACGTATCCCTTGATGAATAGAAAATAGCCCTTGTTGTCTCTTCTAATCTTTTTCAACATGGAATTTATGTTGTAGGATATGTATAAATGTATGACCACCCCAGCTTTTTTGAGGAAGCTGCTTGCTTGCAGATTGTTTTCCATCCTTTAACTTTGAGTCTGTGTTTTTTCTGACTGTTCAGATGTGTTTCTTGTAGGCAGCAGAATGTTGGGTTCTGTCTCTAAATCCATTTTGCCACTCTGTGTCTCTTAATTGGTGAATTTAGACCATTAAAGTTGAGAGATATTATTGTTATGGGGTTTTGTGTCATCTTTCTGTAAGGACTTGTTGTACTTGTCGGGTTTGTCTTGTCTTATAGTAGCCTCTTTAGCCCTTCTGTTAGGTTTGGTTTTGAGTCTATGTAGTTGCTGAGCTGCTGTTTATCCTGAAAATAGTGTACCATTCCTTTGAGTTTGAGTGAGAGTTTAGCCAGATAGAGTATTCTTGGTGAAGCATTCATTTCACGGAGTTTTTTCACTATATCCCACCAATGCCTTCGGACTTAGAGGGTTTCCTCTGATAGACCTGCTGTGAATCTAAGTGGTGTTCCCCTGTATGTGATTCCCTTCTTTGCACTTGCTGCTTGCAGTATTGTCTCTCTATCTGCGGCATCCATCATTCTAACTATGTGTCTAAGAGTGTTTTTGTTAGGGTCTCTTTTTAGCTGGCACCCTTTTGGCTTCTTGAATCTGAATGGCTGCACTGTCCAACTCTGGGAACTTTTCAGCAATGATTTGTTTAACTATGGCTTTTTCATTGGGATTGTTTCCCTGACCTTCTGTTACTCCAAAGATTCTAAGATTCTAATGTTTTTCCTCTTGGAATCATCTCCTAGGACTCTGATTCGTTCTAGAGCTATGTTGAGGTCTCTTGCCATTGTTTGTTGTTGCTTGTAGGCTTCCTGCAGCTGATCTTCCAGCTCACTGTTTCTGTCTTCAGATGTGGCCATTCTACTTTTGAAGGCACAGACTCAGCTTTTTATTTCCTCTACCAAATCTTTTATTCTTGACATTTCTGTGTGTAGCTTTCCAATTTCTGCTCTCATTTCTTCCTGTATTTTCTCAATTGTTTCTCTCATGTCCTCCTTAATTTACTGGATATCTGTCTGACTGTTTCATTGAGTTCATTGAAAATCTTCATTACTTCATATCTGAATTCTTTCTCAGAGTGGTCCCTTAGGTGAGTAGCACTAATGAGGCTTTGGACTCTTTTCACTGTCCTCCCCTCTTGGTGAGGATTTGTGTTCTTTTTTCATGTTTGTGTGGAGGTATGGAGACTGAAATGTTACACGAGATTGCTGGGTATGAGTAAACTACTGTGGCCTTGCGATCAGCTCCTGCCCAAAATTAGGCCACACCCACTTCTACAGAGGCCCTGCTCACTTCTGAAGAGGCCACTCCCCCTATGGGTACCTAGTGTGTGTGTGGGGGGGGTGGGGGCGGGTACAACCTGGAGTAGACAGAAGACTGGGCACAGCGTTTGGAACAGGAAGAGCCTCAGGGATGATGAGTGTCCTGGGGTCCTAGAGGACACCTGGGGCACATACGCATGCAAAGCCTAGTCCCGGGATCGAATAACTGACCTAGGTGCCCAAGAATGCCCTGAGGGGCGCTGCAGTCCTTTTTCAACACTTCATAATTTTTATTATACAGGTTGGTGTTGAATTATTTTAGTTATTTTTGGAGGATCACGATCATCCTGTTGTTCGTCAATTTCCTCAAGCAGACACCAGTAACCTCTCCTTCTTCCTAACCCTGAGATTTTAAAAGAGCCATTTCAATACTCTTTCAGGATTAGGAGAATGAGACCCATCATTGTTACTGGTATTTGGCATATTGAGTACGACACGGAAAGTTTGCCAGACTCTGCCGTGCGGGCAGGATACTTTTGGCAGCCTGCCAAGTTCTCCAAAGGAAAAATAAGATAATAAGATGTCACGCACCCATGAATGCAGCCGCGCTCTTCTGGGAGCTGGGTTTTATAGTCTCTGCATCTTGGCCATTGATGGGACCAACCTGGCACTGGGGCAGCTGGTGGGTGTGATGCTACCTACTGGAAGGTGGAGGGTCTGGTTGAAGAAGGCCCAGTCCTGATCCAAGTAGGCTTGGAGACCTCAGCCCCGGGAACCCACATGCCTGGGTTCCTCTGCCAGTTTTTTCATGCATAAGGCCCATCCGGACATGTGGAGAGTGGTCCCAGCATGGCCATGGCTGGTTCCGGAGGTCCTCAGCTGCTGGGGCTCTGCTCGGGGCGGGGGAGGGGAGAGAAACTCAACCCTCCCCCCTCCAAGGGTTCCTGGTGCGGACAGCCAGGCACAGGGGCAGGAGACTCTGCTCTGTTCTCCTCTGGGAGCTGGGTTTTATAGTCTCTGCGTCTTGGCCGTTGATGGGACCAACCTGGTGCTGGCAGGAGCTGGTGGGTGTGACGCCTACCTACTGAAAGGTGGGGGTCTGGTTGGAGAGGGCCCAGTCCCAATCCGTGTAGGCTTGGAGACCTCAGCCCCAGGAACCGCATGCCTGGGTTCCTCTGCCAGTTCTTTCATGCATGAGGCCCATCCAGACGTGTGGAGAGTGGTCCCAGCATGGCCGTGGCTGGCTCTAGAGGTCCTCAGCTGGGGCTCTGCTCGGGGCGGGAGGGGGGGAGAGAAACTCAACCCTCCCTCCTCCAAGCGACCCCAGTGAGGACAGCCAGACGCAGGGGCAGGAGATTCTGGAGGATTTTGTCATAAATTGAACTTTTGTCTTAATTTCCTATTTTTGTTCAATATTTACATTATAGAAAATTTTGTATACTTCTGTACTATACACATTAATATCATTATTTCCAATATATCTTAGTATTTCGGTTTATGCATATAGCACACCACCTGAAAAACTGACGTTTCATTTCTTTATAAATATGTATTAATTTTATTTCTGTTGTCTTATGTCTCATATCTTTAATACAAATTAAATGAAAGTGATGATAGTGAAAACCTGTTCTCTACTGATTTTAAAGACAAAAGCCTGGATGAGACGTCAGGGATTAGAGCATTCTAAAATGTCTAATGAAGACTATCACAATAATCATAATAATTTACTAATTATCATGTCAATGAAAGATAAATTCAGCAAAGCAAAGGATATATAAAAGAACATATAGAAGAATTAGAACAGAAATTGCTAACCTGCATATGCACTAGCTATAAAATTACTAATACATCAGAACTGAAAGCATTATAGAGGGGGAATCTCAACAGCAGAACTAAAAAATATGAGATAAAAATAAAAAAACAGTAAGCAAAAATAAATAAATAAAACTCATTTATGAGACAGCATGAGATTTAACAACATACATATCAATATTTTCAGAGGGACAGACAAGGAATGGGTAAGAATTACTGATTTGAGAGTATAGCTAATCACTTTCTCAATATATAATAGGAAATACATGTTTATGTCAATAATACCATGTCCTAAAATAAAGCTTTTGCTTTGGTATCACTGTAATTTATAAACTTAATAAAATAATTTAAATTACAATATATATTACATATTTCAGATTTTGACGGTTTCTATTTCCTATTTTCTGGTAATAAGTTTCAGACATATTTCATTCTAGTCTCATAATATTGTGGCAAAAATAAAAATACTAAATTACATAATTATTCATAATTTCATATGTGATGCTATATGAATATTTTTCTGGTATATTATTATTTAATGATTATTATCCTTCAGTACTTACTGACAATAAATGTACAATCTTTAAGACTGAATTAATAATTATGATCTGTGTACGTACTTCTGTTTACAAGGTAATGGTTGTAAATTTTTGAAACCACAGCTTCCAAATCCATCATTAATTTCTTCAAAACAGGCAAATGGAGCACCTCTAGCACCTTAAAATACAAAGACTTTTGTTAAATTACTATTCTTGATCAAAATTAAATTTTCTTGTCAATTACAATGTAATGAACTATTATTTATATAATAAATTATTATAAATTTATAAATTATTAATAATTTTAACACTCTTCCTGTGGGGTCTGTAACTTCTAATTCAATGGATATCAGATTAGGCCATATAATCTGCTCTGTTTAATGAAATGAGAGATTTGAAGTGTGTAATAAATGAATAGAAATCTTCTGAACTAATGCAGCATTTACCATACTATGTTATTATACGGATAGGTCATTTAATTCTTTATATAATATATGTGCTACAAAATCATAGTTAACAGCTATCTAAAACAAAAATCAAACTTTGAAGGAGAAAAGTATAATGTTTTTAAAAGATATCAAACAGTCCTACAAAAACTAAGCTTTCACAATTCAGATTTATTTGTCGGGGGATAATTTTAGGGGGGTCTCACTTGCAGTTTTCAAGACTAATTTCTGATTCTGTGCTTAGGGATCATTCTTGGTGGTGCTTATAGGTTACATATGCAATGCTCAAAATTGAACCTCATTAGTCATGCACAAGACAAACAACTCTGTACACAAGGCAAACAAACCTGTACTATCTTTCCAGCCCTTAAAAATACTCTTGATTGAGCTTGTGATTCATGGTTTTTTTTACTTCTAGAGTTATGAGTAAATTAAGATACATCCCATATAAAGATGCCTAATCTACAGTAAGGCACACACACACACACACACACACACACACACACACACACACACATCAGTACCTTTTCCAAATATCGTGGTACATTGGTCATCAGTAGTTTGGCACTGTCCATTATAACAATAGGAAGTTCCTAAACTGCACAACTTGCCATTCAAAGCATAAGTGTCAGGTACACAATCACTAGAAGTTCCATTGCAATACTCTACAAAATCACACTCTTCATCAATACTCTTTCTACATACAGTGCCTGCTACAGCTATCTTTAAGGAAAAGGAGGGAAAATCACATACTGTAATGACCATTGTCAATTAATCATTGGAGAGACTTAACAAGGAAAATAAAGTCTTATCATATATACTTGAGAAAATTCTAAAAGGTGAGTTTTCAGAAGGAAAAAGTAAGCACAATGTTCTTTGTGAAGCCCCAAGAAAAGTAAATCTCAAAGACTTAAAAGAAGTCTCTACCTATGGAGAAGGTATGTAGTTGCCTAACCACTTTTTATTCTACATTGATTGGGAGGTCCTGTGACTCAACCATTGATTGGGAGGTCCTGTGTGAGAATAGAAATATTAGTTCAACATAGATGTTCTTTAAAATTGGGAAATATTGTCTCTGCTTTTTTCATTTAGGTTTTATTTTTCTGCTCGAATTCTTACTAGCAGTCTCTCAAGACAAAAAAAAAAACTAACTTAAAACACCCCGTTTTAAACAAGAAAATATATTCATTAGTATTCAATAATATGTAGAAATAAAAAAGAATACATTAGAAGAACACAAAAGGAATAAATCAATAAGTGATAGTAAAGGGGTAAGGCAAATGCTATGCATATGACTGACCCCAGTTAGACTTTTGGCACCATATTTTGTCTCCCCAGCATCTCCAGTGGAGACCCCAGAGCACTATCAGAATAACCAGGTAATCCCCAGCACATTAAAACCTCGTAGGCTAGGGTCTCCAGGCCCTACAGAAGTATTTAGACTCTAGCATTATACTGTTGGATCAGTTGACCAAGAATCACAGGGATAGATTCCCAGAGCAACTCCCAAACGAATAACTATTAATGAATTAATCTAAGATGCTAATTATAAGGTCTTCATAATTTAAGTTTTACATTTTTGCAAAGTTATAAATGCAAAAAACAAAACAATAGTTACCAAGTTCTGTGATATGAAGTACTGACTGACTGCAAATTGGCAGAGGAAATATTTTTAATTTTTATGACTAGTCTTGCTATGAGACTAATTATTTTTGCATAATACCCAGAAATCGTTTTACTAAAATGATGTTCCATAAGTTACACCTTAGTTGAAAACTTGGGCAAAGGGAAAATATAAAAATTCGAATTTAGGGGCTGGAGCTATAGCACAGTGGGGAAGGCATTTGCCTTGTACACAACCAACCAGGATTCAATCCCCAATATATTCCCCTAAGCATCACCAGGATTGAATCCTAAGCACAGAACCAGGAATCACTCCTGAGCATTTCTGGGTGTGGCCCAAAAACTTAAAAAAAAATTCAATATAGTTTACAAAATTGAAATTATAAAATATTTACTAGAATGGAATGTGTTTTTTTTTTCAAGCAAATATATGGGGTTGGAGTGATAGCACAGCAGTAGGGCATTTGCCTAGCATGCAGCCAACATGGCCAAACCGAGTTCGATTCTTCCGCCTCTCTCGGAGAGCCCGGCAAGCTACCGAGAGTATCTCGCCCACAAGGCAGAGCCTGGCAAGCCACCCGTGATGTATTTGATATGCCAAATACAGTAACAACAAAATTTCCAATGGAGACGTTACTGGGCCCGCTCGAGCAAATCGATGAACAACAGGAGGGCCTTTACCTTTTACCTTTATATTGAAAATAAAACATTATATTATGTTAGTACATGTAAATGGTCTGTAGTGATAGCACAGTGGGTAGGGCATTTGCCTTGCATGCGGCCGACCCAGGTTTGATTCCTCAGTCCCTCTCGGAGAGCCCAGCAAGCTACTGAGAGTATCTCGCCCACACGGCAGAACCTGGCAAGCTCCCTGTGGCATATTCAATATGACAAAACCAGTAACAACAAGTCACACAATGGAGGCATTACTGGCGCCCACTCAAGCATATTGATGAACAACGGGAGGACAATGTTACAGTGCTACATATAAATATTCCAATAACAGCAAAACAAAGATTATATGTTGTGATCATACAAGCTGATAAGTATTTGAGCAGGAAAATAAAACCTAGACCAAAATAATGTAGAGACATTTCCAAATCCCTATTTGACTTAGCATATAAACTAAGTATATATAGCACAGTGGGTAGGGCGTTCACCTTACAAGCGGCGAACATGGCTGACCCGAGTTCGATTCCTCAGCCCCTCTCGGAGAGCCCGGCAAGCTACCAAGAGTATTCGATATGCCAGACCTTTACGAGGGCCTTTACCTTTTTACCTTTATATATATATATGATACATACTATTATGTTAATAAATCTGTATATAGTTAGTTCATATTTATTAAATCTACTGTAGGAAATAACGTGATATTGCCATGCCAATAAATGTTTTCCTTTAAAATTAGCTTTTATATAGAGAAAAGTACCAGGAGGATTACTCCACAGTTTAGAAGTCGACCTTGCATGCTGGGGGAAAACGCAGCTCAGATAGAGACGGAACCACCAAGTAAAGGGTGCTAGGAGGGCCCACTCGACATGGGAGATGCAGGCTGAAAGTAGACTATAGACCGAATATGATGGCCACTTAATACCTCTACTGCAAACCACAACACCCAAAAGGAGGAAAAGAGAGAGCAAAAGGGAATGCCCTGCCACAGAGGTGGGGTGAGGTGGAGGAGATGGGGTGGGGGTGGTGGAAAGGGATGCTGGGACCATTGGTGGTGGAAAATGGGCACTGGTGGAGGGATGGATACTCAATCATTGTATGACTGAAATGCAAGCACAAAAGTTTGTAAGTCTGTTACTGTACCTCATGGCGATTCACTAATAAATTTTTTAAAATTTGCTAATATAAACAATAATATGATTGGTAATCTTCCCTGAGTTTTCTATACATGTGCATACTTTTAGGTTCCATACATATGGTGATAAAGAACTAACTTGACAATATATTGTTCACCAAAGGGATTTTAAACATTTAGAATCCCACCAGAGGCATCCAGAAGAGATGGTTATCTCCATGTTCTTGTACACTTTATTCTGATATTGTTTTAAATACAGCCATCCTTCTGAATTCTCTATAACACTGCATAATTGTTTTTATTTTTATTTATCTTAAGTATGATCTATATGTAAATTTGACAGTTCTCCTTTCTTTGTTATAAACTGTGCGGGTATGACTTTATCTGTGTGTGTGTGTGCACACGCACACGTGTGATCTTCACTTTTACATGCAAATGAGTTCTCTGCCTGGTTTATACACTACACATTTGGTTTGCGATACAATTTTTTCTTTTGTTAATTGTTCCAAAATTAGTCTCTTACGATTTGACTTTACAATTTCCTGGAGTTATTATTTTATGCAGTAATATCAAAGATTTATTTTATTAAATTTGTAACACTTAAGAAGATGGTAATCTGGATTGATAATTATCTAGCTAAAATGCCTTCTTTATTTCGCAGTAGTTTTCCCACATTACGGTGGATGTTTATAAATTCTCAAGTTTGCTCTACTAAATTACTTTCATTTTTCAACAAATTCAACATTGATTCAATTTTTGCAGCCTTCTATAGAACAATTTAATATCCTTTTAACAAATGCTGGAAGCTTACCTCACATTTGGATGTACAACATGGTCCAGAGCCACATTTCACTGAACCTTTCAGTTTACATGTATTATAATCACAACACATTTTAAATTGACACTCCTAAAATTAAAAAAAGAAAGAAAGTTACGGTCAACCACTTAGCAGTTCTTATTAAATCCCAGCCTAAAATTTATGCATTCACAAAGTTCAGGAGAACTGGTCCTTAGTAAGCAGCTTGCCATGGTGAGGGAGGTGGGGATAAGGGGGTGGGGGTTAAAACAGGAGAGGAACCACTACAACAGTGACAGTGGGTGTATAAATTCTTTGAGGGCTGCCAGGAGGAGGCCCAAACAGCTCTTCCCCTAGCCGCCCGCGTCGAGGTGGGCCCTGGCCGCTCACCCAGCCAGGGCAGCCCGGGACATGGGGCAGACAGTGGAGGAAACAAGTGTCAAGTCGATTGATTGATCAGATGTCGTTTATTCCATTCTCCCCACGGGATTGCCCCTGTCTCTCTGAGCCTCCCATTCTAGTCCTCATTCTGCTCCTCATTCCTGTCTCCTTGTGTCTCTCCCCCTCATCTCTCCGTGCTCCATCTCGCAGCCTGGGCTCTCTCTCTCTCTACGTGCTTGCTCCTGTGTTCTTCTTCTACATTCTTCTCTCTCCCCCCACCCCCTTGCTAGCCTCTCCTTGGTCCATCTTGCCTCCCTGCTCTCTCTCTCTCATTCTACAACTCTGGCCACTCCAACTCTCTTGCACTCTGGGCTGACACTCCACTCAGGTAGAGAAATCAACATAAGAAAGCCCTTCCTGAGGGCCCACCAGGTTCAAAGGAAATACCTCCTAAAAGGCATTCCAAAACCCTTCCTGACTGCCCAAGGGCAAAATACCTTCTAAGGTGTTTTTCTCCTTTCCTCAGTCCAATAACTCTATCAATATCTCAATACTAGTTATTTTTTGTATGGACACAGTAAGAGATAACATTGAGGCTTATAGGGCAGCTCTCCTGGGAACATCTTGCCACAGACTAAGACTACAGTGCTCATGCTAGATTAATCATTCCTAACCCTAGCAGGGTCCAAACCTAGTTATTACTTTTTGATCATGACAGCATTTGTCCATGACCAAGCTCGTAACTTATACTTAAACATTGTGGCACTTTTTATTGTTTGTTTTGCGTTTTGGGTCACACCTGGTGATGCACAGGGGTTACTCCTGGCTCTACACTCAGGAGTTACTCCTGGCGGTGCTCAAGGGACCATATAGGATGCTGGGAATCGAACCCGGGTCGGCCACATGCAAGGCAAAGGCCTTACCTGCTGTGCTATCGCTCCAGCCCCACATTGTGGCACTTTGGCCAGGCCCATCTCGATGCCAGGGTAGCACAAGCTTACCGCTTGCCCTGGTTCCATCCAGTCCCTCGTGGGGACCCTGCTTTTGGGGGTGCTAGGAAGAAAGGGCAGCTGAGGCTTAGGTGAGAGAACAGATGCCCAGGAGGAAAATATCATTGAGTCACATAACAAAAGCATACTGTCTTCTTGTGTCCATACAAAAAGAACATTGCTCTGAATAAACTATGCAAAGGACTTAGGGAGAAGAGAAAAACAATATTTACAAGTCAACAGAGCACAAAGAAAGAAGTTACAAATAAACACAGAGGAATAGGAGCACTGTTATGGGAGCAACCCCATATACCTAAACTACCTGAGGCTATGCAGGAAGGACAAAACAGTGTTATCCTACAAGTTTATTTTGTATTTCACAGTGATCAGTAAGTCAAAGCAATAAAACTAATACATACACAAAATAAAAGTATGTGTCTAACTTTCTATTATACAATATAGTGATATTTGATACATTTTAATATTTTACAATTCATAGGGTATAAATAACATAATATGTATTGATTAAAATATTTATTATTTAAAATATTTGGTCATCATAAATTAGCAACATAAAACTATATTTGGAGAGAAAGTATGAGTTTCCAAGAGAAAATTTTACTAGTGTTCTTATTAATAATTGGTTTATTAATGTAACTCTTTGGAAATAGTTAAATTACATATACATAAAATGAAATAAATTTAATAAGGTATTCAAGTATTAGGTTTTTATTATGAAAGACATACATGTGATATGGGCTGGAGTGATAGCACAGTGGATAAGGCGTTTGCCTTGCACGCAGCCAACATGGCCGACCCGAGTTCGATTCCTCCACCCCTCTCGGAGAGCCCGGCAAGATGCCGAGAGTATCTTGCCCGCACGGCAAGGCCTGGCAAGCTACCCGTGATGTATTCGATATGCCAAACACAGTAACAATTAAGTCTCACAATGGAGATGTAACTGGGCCCGCTTGAGCAAATCGATGAACAACGGGAGAACCGTGAACTGTGACATGTGATATGTCAGTACACATGCATTTTACAATATAAATGACAGCTATTATACAAATTGGGAGAACTTTCAGTGCTTAACAAGTCAAATAATTTTCTATGAAAATGCACCTGTATACAGGTTTTTTAAAAAAATTTAATACAAGTGCAATTTGTAAAAGTAGTGATTTTATAATTAAAACTATAAATCTATGTATAGTTTTTAAATTAAAATTTTAATTTACTATTGAGATAATGTTATTGTGATTATTGTGATGTGAGGGGGGGGGGGCCTTGGTCACACCTGGCTGTACTCAGGGCTTACTCTTGACTCTGTGCTCAGAGCTCACTCTTGGTGATGCTCTGGGGGACAATAGGCTTTGGTAAGCCATGTGAAAGGCAACTGTTTCACCCAAGTAATATTTCTCCAGCCCAAATGCTGATATTTTCTGTTCACTTGTTTTGGTTCATTTTTTTGGGGGGAGGGGGGGCACACTGGTTTGTGCTCAGGGCTTGCTACCAACTCAGCATTCAGGGATCACTCTGAGCCCTAACAGTGCTGAGAGGCCATATGGGGTGCAAGGGATGGGTTATAATCCTTCACATACTTTACTGAAATGTTCCTTATGTTCTTGTTCATACCTATTAACCAAATGTAAACTAAAAGTTTAATTCCAGAAACAGTACGTCCTTAACTGAGTTATATTTAATTAGGTGGGAAAATATCAATAAAATTTTCATAAGTGTATGGTTCAAAAGTGACCTCCAGTCACATCACCAGAGATGATGTTTCTTTTACCCAGTATTGTCATTCCATCAGGCGCTTTCCATTGTCATTTCTTGCTCGGAAACACCTGAAAGTTTCAAGACAGCACTGACTTAAGCTGTCGCCTTTAAACCAGCACAGAACTGTACCCTCCTGACTCATTTCTCGCTCTTTTTTTTTTTTTGGTGAAAATCATCTTTTATTTTCTTTTTTATTAGTGAAACACCATGAGGTACAGTTGTAGACTTATAAACTTTAGTGTTTGGGTTTCAGTTATACAATGATCGAGTACCCCATCTTCTAGATATGCATGTGAGAAAGAGTGGTCTTAAAGGACAGGGAGGCAGTGCTGTAGGGAGTTTTTGCTGGTATAGGACAGAGCGACAGCACAGCCGGTAGGGTGTTTGCCTTGCATGCGGCCAACCTGGGTTCAATTCCTCCACCCCTCTCGAAGTCGGGCAAGCTATCAAGAGTATTCTGCCCACACAGCAAAGCCTGACAAGCTCCCCAGGATGTATTTGATATGCCGAAAACAGTAACAAGAAGTCTCATAATGGAGATGTTACTGGTGTTGGCTTGAGAAAATCAATGAACAACAGGAGGACAGTGCTACATAATAGTGATGTTACGAAAAAGAATGCCTTTGGGTTTCTGCTTGACATGTGGGATGTTGGGAATTAAACTCATGGCCTTTATGAGCTCAACCGCTGAGCTATTTGCTGTCTTTCGAAGACTGTGTAATCTATAAAGTAGTTTTAGGTTCACAGAAAGTTGAGCAGATAATATAGAGAATTCCCATATAGAACTTCCGTCTTCATTGGTCTCCCCTTTTATTAACATCTTATATTAGGTAAAGTTGTGACAAGTGGACAAATATAAATATATTATTAATATCTGAAATTTGTGGTTTTTACTGCTTTTTTTTCATTGTACGTTCTATGGATTTTGATGAATGTGTATGTATTCACCATTACAGTATCATGCAGAAGTTTAATTGCTATAAAAATCCCCTGTGCTCTTCATTCCTCCTCTACCCATCCTCTGGCAGTCACTGATCTTTTACTGTCTTCATGGTGTAGGTTTTTCCAGTTACGTATGTAAAAATCATATGTATTATGTCATATACATATGGCTGGAGCGATAGCACAGTGGGTAGGGCATTTGCCTTGCACGTGGAAGACCTGGGTTTGATACCCCCGTCCCTCTCGGAGAGCCTGGCAAGCTACCGAGATTATCCCAGCCACACGGGCAAAGTCTGGCAAGCTCCCCGTGGTGTATTCCATATGCCAAGCCAGTAACTATAACAGGTCTCATTCCCCTGACCCTGAAAGAGCCTCCAATTGTTGGGAAAGATGAGTAAGGAGAGGCTGCTTAAATCTCAGGGATGGGAGGCTGGAGCAATAGCACAGCAGGTAAGGCATTTGCCTTGCATGCGGCCCACCTGGCTTCGATTCCCAGCATCCCATATGGTCCCCCGAGCACCGCTAAGAGTAATTCCTGAGTGCATGAGCCAGGAGTGACCCCTGTGCATCACCGGGTGTGACCCAAAAAATAAATAAATAAAAATAAAAAAATAGGGACTTCCATCTCTCCCTTCGGGACCTCAGGCATCCCGGCAGACGCCTGGAGAAACGCAGCCGTGAGCGGCTGCCGCCCCCTCTCCGGTAGTCACGCGGCACTCCTCTCTTCTCAAACCCAGGTCAGCCCTGCCCCTGCTGTGTGGCCCCGGGACTTCCATCTCTCCCTTCGGGACCTCAGGCATCCCGGCAGACGCCTGGAGAAACGCAGCCGTGAGCGGCTGCCGCCCCCTCTTCACTACTCATGCGGCGCTCATCTCATCTCAAACCCAGTTTTCCGTAGAGGTGTGGCCTCTTCAGAAGTGGGCGTGGCTTCAGAGTGGGCGTGGCTTCAGAGTGGGCGTGGCCTATTTTCCGGCCGGCGGCCACTTACGCGGCCGCAGGTTGTTTACTAATTCAAACGAACCT